CATTGGACAGTGACATTAAGTGCCGTAATGTGCACCTCTGCCTACCCCTTCGGGGTTAAAAGGCGTGATGTTATGTTATGTTCCCACAATAAAAAGAACACATAGAATTTCTTTTGGTAGGTGTCTGATTAGTTTTTGTAGTTATCATCTGCAGCCTGTCTTTTAAAACTGATGGACATTTTTTATTTGTCGGAGAGCCATGCTTCGGTACGAATGTGCCGGCTCAGCCGGAGTGATACCACGGCCTCACACAAATACCGACGTGAAACAACGCTTGCGTCGTGTTTCGTCGTGTGAGTGAGGTTATTAAAGGCCCATATATTACCCCCAACAATTCTCCTCAAATTCCTAATCCCAAAATGCCGGTAACGCACTTGTAACGCTTCTAGAGTTCGGGTGTCCATGAGCGACGCCGATTGCTTACCATTAGGTGATCCGTGTGCTTGTTTACCTGTTTATTCCGTTAAAAAACATACCTTATCCAAAAAACTGTTCTCTTTATCTACATGGGTACCCGTGCCAATTCTTCAATAACTGGCAATCGCCTGCCATGGACACCCATAATACATACTAGTACAGAGGAATTACGAGTGCGTTACCGGCTGTTTTAGGGTTAAGGATTTGAGGATTAATGATAGGGTGCACCTTCTATTATAAACGAATACATAGATTGATGTTTGTTGGTTGAATTAATAAGAATCTTCAAACAAAACCAGTTTATTACACATTTTTGATTCAAGTAAGCACATAACTCTATTTATTAAAAGGAAGGTACGAAAGTAATTGTATACATAATAAAGTTCGCTCCACACGGGCCGCTTTCGACATCGGTAATTGCGTTCTAAGCATTCAGCCTTTGAGCCTTTGCTTTGTTCAAACGGCAATGGTTTCCCTCTTTATTATTATTTCCGTCGAAAACATTCCGAGACCCAACGCCTGGCACAATACCTACGTATTTTTCGAGTAGGTACTTCCATTTGTATTTTAATATTCTCATCTTATTGTTGTTTATGAGCTACTTGATTAATTTTATTGGATGAGTTAGGTTTTTATGTCTTAAATATTAACTTTATTATCTTGGTAATCGAGTCGTCGCAATACCGGCTGCCGAGCAAGGAACGTTCGATTCCAAAGTCGTCCAATGCAAATTAACATTTATTAAATTCGATTGTTTTTTCCAATGTTTCAATTTTTGACACAATACCACTCTTTTTTATGGCATAAACCGGTAAACGAGCAGACGGATCACCTGATGGTAAGCAATCAGCGTCGCCGGCCTTTTGGGGATTAGGAGTTTGAGGATCGTTGGGGATTCAGGAATTGGGGAGATTGGGGAAGGGGAGGGTAATTGGGTCTCCGGTAACCTCACTCACACGACGAAACACAACGCAAGCGTTATTTCACGTTGGTTTTCTTTGAGGCCGTGGTATCACTCCGGTCGAGCAGGCCCATTCGTGCCGAAGCATGGCTCTCCCATACTTAGAATTATGAATGTGTTATGAATAGTACTGGATCGAATCGAATGAAATTTGGTATAGACATCGTACAATAACCTACCTTTATTAGGTACTATATTAATTAGACTGTATTTTTAATAATGTAGTAATTAGACTGTATTTTTATTTTAAAAGAAAAATTGTTGTGCTGTAAAAGTACGAAAAATACCTTTTGAAAAGCACAAAATAAATGATCCTCTTTTTTGTAAGTCCTGTGTATACCTACTCTATTTCTTCTAAAAAAGTTGGCAACCCTAGGCGCACCCCATATTACGGGTGACTTACAGAAATTTGCAAAAATTTTAAAACTTTACATTAAATATTGCATGCATGTGAATGTCTGCCAGACATAACTGAGTAACTGAAATGAACTCAACAGTGCTGCCATCTTGCAATCTACGCGAGTACCAACAACTATTGCAGCCCACAAAGTTATTATACCTGAGAATACCTTACTGTAACAAAAAAACCATTGGTTTAGAAATTTATACATTTCTTTGAAATTAGGACACAATGTGTTGATGTGCAATTTAGCATTATCAGTACAATAACCAGTTAAGTCTAGGTTATTCCTTATCTAAATTACTACACAAAACATAACATCACGCCTTCAAAGCCACTGTACAAAATGTAACATCCACATTTCACTATTTATGTGATGAGTCCAATGTAATAGGGGGTGAGCCTATTGCCATAGACCGGGCTCAATTTCAGACTCCGTGCTACCATTGAGAGAAACCAAGTAATACTTTGCCCGACTAGGGAATGGAACCCGAGACCCTGGCAGTCGCACTTGCGACTACTCGGCCAATGAGGCAGTCTAAATTACTAATTAACAATTCATAATACAAGAGAAAGAAAATATAGGCAAGGTAGAAAAAACATCTTCTTACTTTAAACATTATTTAATACATAATAATCTACACTAAAACAGAATTTAACAATCTAAGAATTATTTAGACTTTGCTTGTACACTTGATAGTTTTGTTGGGTCAAACTTGTATGTTTTCTGTAGAGGTCCTTTACCGGCTTTTGTAAATATCATTTCATCTATCCTTTGTCTTTCAGCCAACTCTTTGGAGATCTTCATATTAGTCCAGGAATCCTTAGCTCCGTCAATAAAACCTTTTTTCTTCATTGGTAGGGCTTCAGGTGTGTGTTTAATTAGTTTGGGAATCTTAAAATAATCCCTGACAGCTGGTACCTTAAGTAAACCAACTTGAAGAAGAGAAATGAAGTTACTGGAACACCAGTAAACTAAAATTGCCCCAGGAAAGTTAATTGTGAATGGAATCATGACAATAGGAATAGCTCTAAGGAAGTATCTCATCATTACCATGTTCTGTGCCTCAAGACGACCTCCATCCACACCCAATTCTATGGTAGCCCACATAGTGGCACTAGTTATAAGAGGAAGAATGAAAAACTGGTCAGGCACAGTCAAGTCTGTGAACCAGGCAAGGCCACCATAAGACATACTCTCCACAGGGCAGTTAGCCATCCTTCTCAATCCAATAAAGAATGATATAAACAATGGAGCCTGAGCTAAAGGAACCAACATGTTCTTCAGAGGATTCAAACCTTTTTCTTTCATGAATCCAACCATTTCTTGAGCATACCGAGTGGCTTCAAGCTGATTTCCAGTCTGTCTTGCTTCTGTCATTTTCATTTGAAGGAGCTGAATTTCTGGCAAATTATTATTCATGACAGCTGTGTTTCTTTGCGATATAATGACCAACGGGAACATGACTAAACGTACGCATATGGTACCAATGACAATTGCTCCCCACCAAGGTACATCCAGTGAAATATGAAGAAACTCCAAACAATGTTGTACCAACCCAATAGGTGACCAACCTCCGAGGCCAAGACTAGCTAAGGTGGGCTCTCCATTTGCAGCCACAGTTTGTACCGTTTCAGTCAAGTCGACAAGGGTCGAAGGATCAGGTACTGGAGGTGGTTCTGGTATATTTTCCACTATGGTTGCTGTTTTACCTGCATCGCTGACACCAGTCGAATTAAACCTTACTGATGCTGCTGAGGAATATACGTAATAAACCTTTGCTTTTCTAACCTCAAAACATTTATCAGAAATGTAATTTATAACAGCACTTCGTGGGCGGCCGTGGCCTCTCAATAATTTGAACATTTTGACTTAGTTAGCTGTATACTATCAGGTTAAAAATTCAATAATAAACTTAAAAACCTATGTTATTTTTGTTACGGCACATTTCTGACAATCAATCACAGACAAAATTGTATGTTTTAATTCTAGACTTTAATGTATTTAGTCTATGATTCTTTGTCAGTAAATACAGTTTTTAATGTTAATGTTAAATGTTAATATTATGTTCAAATCAAGTTCTATAGAATCATGATAAGTTGGTCATTAATACAATATACAATTTGACATCAAAATCTTTTTTGATTCGGAATGGATTATTTTTGTAATCTGTGTACCTGTCAGTTGCACGTGTTGTCGTGTTGTTTTATAATCTGTCTGTTCCCAAAAACTGTCAATTGTCAAATACCTGCTGTCAAAAGTTTCAAAACCACATGGGGATGTTACGCGTGTTTTTAAATAAAGCCATCGTAAATAAAGTGATAATCTTACAGCTTTAAATGTGACACTATATTACGAACATGGCACACATTTCATACCCTTTTAAGAAAACAAGTAAGGCTGTTTATCAAAAGCCGGCTTCTATTGTTACTGAGGATAATATTTATTGGAAGAAGTTAGGAGTAAGTGCTCGCATTTTAGTAAATTACTTATGATTTGTGACTAAGAACAGTGTAGTTAACGTAGCTTTTACTTTCAGTCACCGGTGTTGGTGAAAGAGTTTGGTGCGATTGATTATTTGGACTTCAGCCCTGTAGAACCCTATTACTTCGCTGCAACATGTTCAGTCAGAGTACAGGTTGGTAAATTGTGTATTATATTCCCTAGTTTATATAATCATAGTTGGATATGTCTAGACATTATTGATACTAATACAATATGAGGTTGTGTTGAGATTTCCGACTAGTGCTAACCTGGTACCTATATTATATGCATTATTTATAGTAATAGGCTAACTCTCTATCAATCGCGACCTTATAACGACCACTTCAGTGTAAAACTAAGTTGTGATAAAAAAAAATATTCTCATTTCAGGTCTATGATCCAATTACAAAAGTAGTTGCAAAGAACATCTCAAAATTCGTGGAAGCTGCATATGGTGCTACATTTAGAGGTGATGGAAGACTCTTAGTGGCTGGAAGTGAAGAGGCAGCAGTGAAACTGTTTGATGTCCAGTCAAAGAATGTGCTTAGAGTGTTTACTGGTCATACAGGTCCTGTAAGTATAGCTGAACTATTTAACTCGTTGAGTACCGTCTTTGTAGACACAATTATAGAACAATAGGTTGCGGTCACCAGTGACCGCTTGGTGTTTGACAGTTTAATAGATTAAAACATAATCAACTTATCCCATATAAATTATAACTAATCACTGTATTAAAACAGTAATTTTGATTTTGATCATGATTTCAGGTGCACAGAACATTATTCACAAAGGATCATGTGAAAGTCCTGAGTTACTCAGATGACAAATCAGTTTGTCTATGGGACATAGCCACAGAAGAGAAAATTGCTACTTTTGCTGAACACACAGACTATGTCAGAGCTGGAGCTGCTAGTCCTATCTCACCAGATATTATTTTATCGGGAAGTTATGACCATTCAGTTAAACTATATGACTGTAGATCAAATGAAACAGTACTTTCTGTGAACCATGGCAGTCCTGTTGAGTGTACATTATTCCTACCCTCAGGAGGTATATTCATCAGTGCTGGTGGCACAGAAATCAAAGTCTGGGACATCTTTAATGGAGGAAAACAGCTGGCTAATATTTCTCAACACCATAAAACTGTCACTACATTACGACTGGCAAGTAACAACAGCAGACTGCTATCAGCCTCCTTGGACAGGCATGTTAAGATTTATGACATATCAAGTTTCAAAGTTGTTCACAACATTGACTTCCCTAATGCTGTATTAAGCATGGCTATATCTAAAGAAGATGATACTCTAGCAGTGGGCACGATTGATGGAATCATATCCATTAGAAAAAGAGAAAAGCCAGCGAAGCAATCTTATGAGAAAAGAGGTTTACTCAAATTTGTTCCAGACCATGTCCAAACTTCACTGTTTGAGGAGGATAAGCAAGATTTAAGTAAGAAAATTAGTTTTAAAACACCAAAAGGTGCTGAATATGATAAATTCCTTAGAAAAATGGAGTTCACGAAAGCTCTGTCAGCTGGTCTAAAAACATATGTGGCAACTAAATTCCCAGAGAAGACAGCTGCTTTGATACAAGAGATGTTGAGAAGAAAAGTCTTACATATAGCTATGGATGGACTAAATGAAAAAGATATAGGAACATTATTAAAATATTTTAAGAAAAATCTAGGAGAAACAAGATTTACCAGAGTAATAATAGATGCATCCAATGTGTTTGTTGATGTATTTGAAGATCAAATTAAAACCTTTTCTGAATTGAATCTGTGGTTATACACTTCTCTGATGAAAGAGATAGAAGAAGAAATAGAAGTTTGTAAAAAAGCAAGTGAGTTAGAAGGAGCTATCAACCTTTTAATGGCCGGAGCACAAATTAGTAATGCCAGTGATACAGTGGATTTGAGTGATAGTTTAGCGCCATCAACTAAAGCATTGAAAGAAATTGTTATTGATGTTTAGTTTTATTAAATAAACCGAAATGTTACATAAAAATGTTGAGTTTAATTAACTATAAATAATTTAGTCTTTTTAGATCTTAATGCCTTGAGTATAATAAGTATGAGTTATTATTCCACTTACTATATTTCAATAAGAGTTACAAAATCTGAAGCCTCACCAAGATCTAATCAAATCAGATTTCTTGCATTAAAATAAGTCAGCAATCTGATCTCTCCAAATTGCTAACGTTATAATAACTGCAAGCTACACTGAAAATATTCTAACAGTGCCTCGTTGAGTAAGTTAGTTCCAACCAAATGTAAAACGTCGAGTTGTCATACCAACGCGACCCTAAATTAAACGAAGTTTTATTATGTTATCGGACTTGGCAAAGAACAAATTTTTTACAAATGTACCTCGTGTGTTCATAAGTTTTGAGACAAATTAATAGTTGCATATCTTTTTAAATAATAAATTTATATTTATAAAAACAATAACAAACATTAAGTAGATAGTAAGTAAAAATTAAATATAATTATTATTCAAAATGACCACCCCTGTTTTTAATACATGCCCTTAGACGATTTGGCCAGTCATCAATGGCGGCATGAATCTTTTCCAGAGGAATTCGCTTCGCTTCTCGGACAAGAGCTCGCTTAAGTGACTCCAAGTTTGGGTGGGACTTTCGGCAGGCTCTGAGCTCTAATTCGGTCCATAGAGAATAATCCAGCGGGTTGAGGTCGGGGCTGGAGGAGGGCCATTCGTTCGCCGCAATGAAGGCCGGCACATTTTCCTTCAGCCAAGCTTGGGTGGTTTTAGCTTTATGGGATGGCGCCGAGTCTTGCTGGAAAACCCAATACTTGTTATGGAATAGGGTATTAGACAGGGGTTTCACAACAGTCTCTAGAATGTCACTTTGATAATTTTTGGCTTTCACCTTGACGCCTTGTTGGCAGAAATGAAGCTGAGTGACACCTTCGTACGAAACTCCCCACCATACCATGACACTAGCCGGATGATGAGTACGCGAGACATTCCGTGCTGAAGGTGGGACATCCTTGCTACTTTTGGCATACACTTTATTGTTTTGTCGATTGAACTTTTCTTCGACGGTAAAGATTTTCTTGTCGGTGAAGAGTATCTTCCTCGCATCGTGTCTCCTAAGCAGTATTGAACAACGTTCGCGTCGCAATTGACGAAGGCGATCGTTTAAAAAGTGTAATTTTCTACGGCTATACGCCTTAACCTTGAGATCATATTTCAGTATTCTGTTGACTGAAACGCGCGAAATATTGGTCTGCAGAGCGAGTTTCTTCTGAGTGCGACATGGATTTCGGCGAAGTCGCTCTCGGATGATTTTAATGTTAGCAGGCGTCCTCACAGAGCGTGGACGACCACTTCTTTGCCGATCATGTAAAGAACTTGTCTCCTGGTATCGTTTAATAGTGTAATACACGAAGTTACGGCTCACACCAAAACTTTTCAGTTCTCGGAAAATGTCCATAGGTTTTCTTCCCACCTTAACCCTAGAAAGATAATCTTATTTTGACCTACGGGAAAGATAATCATACGTCTTTGAGACGTATTCGGATTTATAAGTGCATATGGGACAAGTTTCTATAAACCGCGTTTTAAAAAGTTATTGAATCATTAGTTTAGGGTTTTCTACGACAAATAAAAACATAATTACTATAAGAAAATAAATATAATTTAAAAACATAAAGAAATTTTGTTACTTGATACTTTTTTGAACTTGATATTTTTTAGATATTTTGTTAGAGGTTTTCTAACAAAATATCTAAAAAATATCAAGTCTTCCTTTGGTGAGTTATTGTGCTAATCTTGAGTTTAAAATCACACTTTTTTATTAATATTATACAGAATAAGAACTAATTAAGAGCTTGATATAAAAAATCAACAAGTTTTAAGTTTCGATCACATTTAGATATAGCCTTTATATATATCAGTTTTATGTTCACCACAAATGCTTTCATTGCATTTATAACATATCATTTTCGACATCCTTCTTATTTTTGACGGACAATACACACAATATCGCTTCTTTTTGTTTCCTGGTTCTTCATTATCATCTAAAGTATTAGTTTTCGGCAGCAACTTGGATATTTACACGGCCATGTCTTTTAAGAGTAGGAGCTTCTGATCTTTTCTCCATCCAAGGTGGCAAAGGTTCAGCATTGGTTCATTGCACTATTTCATTATAATCTCGTCAGTTATAAATAATTAAGAGCATAAAGCAGGCTCATAAATATTTTTACACGTGGGAGTAAGCCCTCTAGAAGTTCGTACTATGTTTATATTTGTAGTTCTTCTTCTATTTTGACCCTTAATTACAATGTTTGTTTCTCCCGCACAATATACGTTGAGTTGGAATAATAATCGTTAAAAAAAATTGAAGTTGAATCTTGGTTGGGTACACGTGACGGAGATGATGGTATCTGCAATTCCTCCGATGTTGACCCAGCAACTTCGTCAACCAATTCACTAGTCAATCAACTGACCAATCTCATCTTCACTGTTTTCCAATATTATTTCAATTTGTTTATAATCAAGGGCCCTGCATCCAGCCATTGCAATAGATTACCAAAATCACCAAAAATATAAAAAAAACGATAAATAAAACGAACTATTACTACAGGGAATGAGGTACAAAAGATACACAAAGGATAATCATACGTCTATCGAACGTACGCCATACCTGTATATACGTAATTATTGTACTTACCAGGGCGAGATAGCCGTCTCGCGTAAGGTCTGCCCGGCCACTGGGATAACCTAGAAGGACAGAGCGCTACGATGCGAAATAAATAAGATATAGCAATATTTGTGTCGGTCATGCGTCTCAAAGACGTAGATTATCTTTCTAGGGTTAAATAATGAAATGACGGTCGCACGTAATTCTTTTGTTCCCTCCATTACGAGAAAATTTAAATCAAAGAGTATAATAAGTATAGGGGATAAGAGTTGTGTCGCGGAGAACCTAACGGGTAACCGGGGCTCCGGCTCGACGTGCAGGAGAAGGAACGGGGTGGTTTTTAGTCAGTAAGAGTCTGACACTCCCTCCCGCCTCAGGAGCAGTCATTCGAACAAATTCGATGATTTTCCCCCCTTAAAAAAAAAAAGGGGATAAGAGTTGCCACTCGTCAAAAGTTTATGCCAATTAATTTAAAACGCCATCTGAAAATTGGATCCTAGTATATTTTTTTTTTACCAACGTCTACAGATAATCCTAAATATAGCTAATGCCAATACTACCAACAATGTACCTTGCAGGTTGGTACATTGAAGGTAGTATTGGAATTAGCTATGTCTGGTAGCTGCAAAATCAAAGAAGTTATTAATTACAATATTACATTTATTTACCAGTAAATACAAATAAACATTTAAAAATTATCAGCTACTAGGGGAAATATCAGACGATAGATTTGTTCAAAGTATAATTCTAATTTTAATCCTTTTTAATTTTATGTTTACAGATTTCAGATATAAATATGTCGTTCAAAATTTATATGACCGTTGAACATCATCTTTGAACGATTATGCCAGCATAATTGTCATTTGATCTAAGTTTAAGGAATTATTTTGTAAAAATTGCAATATAGTATTAAATAAATGTGTATAATGTTAATGTACTATTTCCAAAAAATATTATTTTAACCCTAAATTAAAAAAATAATGTTGCAACCTTGGTTGGAACTGTGTGGCCACTGAAAATATTAGTTTTAACTACAAAAAAAAAGTTTTGACGACATTTAATTTCAGGTTCGAAAACTAGATGTAGCTGACGGTCCGATTTTTAAAGCTGTCAATGGCTCTAAGTGTGACGGCCCTGATAAAATAATCCGAAATCATAGATATTAAAAGTTAACATTCCAAATTCAAAATTAGAAAAAGAAATATACAGCAGCCAGTAATTTTTATTTTATTTTTATAAGCAAAAGGTTTGTCTCAAAACTTATGAACACACGAGGTAAAACATTGCCTCTTAAAAGTCGTTTCAATATTAATTTGTTACAAATTACAATCTATGGCAATAACTCTATGCTTTTTCTTATTCGCATTTTACATTAATACTGACGGTATCTAGGTGCTCAAAAGATTCAAAGTAATTAAAACATATACGTTTAAGTGAATTTACAGTAAACTTAGCTAATAGAAATTGAAAATGGGGCATTGTACCACTACTTATAGGCTGTAAATCTGTTTGCTTTTGTCTGTCAATTTTTGGGATGAAGAAGCAAAAATAAATATTGTCTATGGCCGATTGTTGTCGGACAAAATGACGTTTTGCAAAAGTCTCAAATCTCACTAAAAACGAATAATTTTCGAGTGCACCTCTGTGTTAAAACTAAGCAGTGATTTTAAATGGCAACGCAATAAATCTATAAATAAAATATTTACGTAAAACGATGTGTGACGTGTTCATGCTCAAATTGTTAACTGTAGCAACAAACTGTAAGTTCACTTCAAGGGTTTCATGTTATTGGTGCATTTTTTATTTTTATTTTAACTATCTCTGTGTTATATAAACTGGTCTGTTTACAAGAGTACATGAATTGGTGTTGTAAATGTTCGTTAACCTTAGAAGTAAAGGTTGTATTTATTTTTCTTATTGCTGACATTGGTGTAACCACGAGATTTTTGTCGTAGGTACTCGCATGTAAAATTATAAAACATGGATGAGCGGAAAGTCGCCGATTACTTTGTTATCGCTGGTTTACCTGAGAAACCGGAATTACTTGATGATTGCGACTCTGGACATCTCAAAGGATACAGTACAAAGGCACCAATCACTGACATAGGTAAGTCCTTTTTTTCTTATATCCCCAAAAGTTAAGGTACTCTGATATTCTTCCTATTTTTCTTATTTGTCATTGAAATATGGACAATGTGTTCTGACAATAATAATCATTGAAATATGTCTTATAGGACATATATTTTGGTGTTTGAGTGTGCAATAAATTATTCATCTGTTCATAATGTTCACTCTAAACCTTGAAGCAATTTAAATCACTTGAAGTGGGTATTGTATAATAAACATAAATTCTATCAACATTGTTTTGATAATTTTTTATTAGAACTTTGTAAGTCAAAAATCTGAAACAGTAACTGAATAATCCAATTGGAGTTTGTGTTTGTATGGTCTACCCTACAGACCTATTTTTGAATCACATTATTGATAACCATGAATTATAAATAAATAAATAAACCATAAATAAGCTAGGTACTGATAAATAACATTGAATTTCTATTTTTAAATCCCACATTCAGGTTTTAATTTAGGTATTGTCATAAATCAATATTACTAATGTTTAAAAATAAAGATATCATCTTTATTTTTCACATCATTTTTGGTAAGTTACTAACAACATAATAGTGTTTGCTATCCATATAATTATAATTATGTATTATATTAATATTAACTATTCTAGTTTTACTAAATTCTTCTTATTCCAGATTGTAAAAAAATATATAAAGTTGACTATTTATTTCCTCTTATTATATCATTTATGGTTTCTTTGTTTACTTTTTATTTTAACATCTATCTGTCAATACTCCAAATACAGGATGTGTTAGTCCAATGAGGAAGTAGGTACCTAATTAATTATTGAATTCTAACAACAAACTTTGCGTAATTGATTCTCTAGGTCACTTATGTATTGTCATTTTGGTCATGTTTAAACATTCTTGCATATTTATTAAGAATTATCTGGCGAACATCCTGCGTTGTAATCTAGTGTTATAAGTATGTACAATTAGTATTCTTTAGACACATGGTACCATGGTACATTTAGCGTAAACATGCTGTACCTTAGTCATAATTGTAATGACAATGGTGTTATGTTATGTTATTTTATCACTTTGTATAGGTATCCATATTAATACAAGTTATAGGAAATTCTTGACTGACTTGTCACAGACGTTAGGTTTGTGGTTAGGCATCGAGTTTCATGGTTGCACTAAGTGATACTTGAGATGTTTGTGTTTTGTAGAATTGACTGTTTTAACTTATAGGTTTATTCTTAGTTATTCATTAGGTTTTAAACAAACTATTCATTGGTAAGGCTATTTAAAATTTAACCTTAGTGAATTACAAGTTTAGAAATAAACAGAGCTTTTATCTACTAAATACTAACAACAATTCTGACAGTTCTATAGCTGATGAAGATAAATAAAAAGGAATGTTTTTCTGTTGTTATACTAAAATATTTTCCCCTAAAACCTTTTGTTAGTCAAATGAATATATTTTTAGTAAGTCTAATAAAACACGAAAGAAACCTTATCTCCTAATGCCCACGTTGACCTAATATTTTCCCGAAAATAATCAATTTATCAAAACATCAATCAGATAAATGATAAGGTGTTGGTACGGAAAAACTGACAGTGATTTGACACGGACAACATTAAATTGACCAGTCTGCCTTGACCTGCCAAACCTTTGCGTTTATGAGTAAGTGAACAAGTTATTGAGAGAAATTGCAGGATACAAACATAACTTGGTGCATAAAATATTTTTTAAATCGCGAATTTTGTTGCCGTGGGCAAAAATTGAGAAAAACTAGGTGCTATAAATTGAATGTTTTTTCTTATTTTCATGACAATGTTTTTATTAAAACGAAAAAGCAATTCGAAATTTAAAGAAAGACCTGGTGCATATCCCATACCAGCTGCTAGTTGACTATATTTAATTAGTTATTAGTCTGTATATCACATTTTGTAACTCGTGTTATGTTGCGGTCCAAGGGCGGCGTTAATCACTGCCCATCAAATGGACCGTATGCGCGCTTACCCTGACCGATGCCGATTCGGAGTCGCAAAGAACCTAACGGGTTACCGGGGCTCCGGCTCGATGTGCAGGAGAAGGAACGGGATGGTTTTTAGTCAGTTTAGAGTCTGAAACTCCCTCCCGCCTCACCCAGGTGGGAACAGACATTCGATGATATTCCCCCTTAAAAAAAAATGCCCACTTACCTTACACTTCTGCTCCTTAAAAAGTTGTAATATTTTGTGAAAGTATCGTAACAAGTTCAAGATACAAAGTACATACTTATATACAGATTTGTCGCCTAATGAACCAAACTGGTTTAGTCTACCTGAATCTAGGTCATTTCCCATATCTAGAAACTGGACATCAACCACATTAATGGCTACTTGTATATTACATTATTTGTGTTTAATGATATTTCTGGCAGCTGTTCAAGAGTTTTGTGTTGTTTTGTTTGTTTGTCAAAACAAACATCACATGTTTTGTGTTATTGTTACTTCATTGTAACTAACAATTACACTTGTGTTAATGTTTTGTTTACAATTTATCGCACAGATTAAGTATTACTTAGTTTTATGAATTTTAAAATGAAACATATTATACCTAGGCGTTTTTTTTTTATATATTATTCAATGTGCCGATGGACATTTGACCCCTATCTTGCCTAGTGGTAAGTAATGATGTAGTCTACGATGGAGCACGTCGACTTATAAGCAACCTATTCACTCGGGTCTTGAAAACATCCTTCAGGAAACACAGACTATTTTACAATTTTTTACTATTTTAGATTTCATTTTGAATGTAGTTCTATTTAAATGTGGAATGTATGGTGTACAAATTCAAAGACACAAAGTCTAATAATTTAATAAATTAACACACAGGACATCATCATTACTTTCTAATCTAGAGATGAAACCTTACTATAAGTACCTACTTACTTTATTTCGTAAATCTAGATAAGTTTTTTATAGTACATTTTAACATAATGATAAACTAACATTTTATATTTGTGCACTATCCTAAAGAGACTTTTTATGCTGCCTACATTAATTTTAATCTGTCATTAACATACCCTGATAAGCCTCAAAGATACATAATACAGTTTTTCTAGATTATTAAGATAAGACGTCTATCTAGTAGCTTGGTTAAAGTACAACCGCCTCTATTATTCAAAAATTAAGAGTTAAAATTCTAGGTATATGAATTAACTCGTCGAGTACCGGTTTTGTAGACACAATTATAGAACAATAGGTTGCGGTCACCGGTGACCGCTTGGTGTTTGACAGTTTAATTCTTTAATAAACATCACAATTAAATGAAAGAGTCTTTTTACAATTGATTTAAATACGTTTTAACCTTGATACAATTGTCATTTTATGTGAATCTAATGAGTAATCAATAATAGACAGTAACTACTCTCAGATCAATGTACTATTTATAAATATTGTTTTATAATAACACAGGTAACAGGTGTGCTATTATAGATGAGAATACAATATATTTGTTATTAATTACCTTATGTATACTTATATCAAAGATCGTGTGTTTTCCTCTAACTTCATACTTTCCTGCGTACCTGTAATATGAATGACCTTTGTTCGTGTAATGTTAGGGGACGGAATGTACTGTCAACTCAGCTTAAATTATTATAATATCTAGGAATAAACTGTTGTAAGAAAATCGTTGTGATAAACAATAGTTCAGTTTCACATATTTATCTACCTGTACTATAATAAGTATATACTTCATTAGGTACCTACTTGTGTTACGTTGTCATGTTGCAAATTTTATTAGAATTGTCCTTATAATCATACTTACATAGTGTATGCAAGCAGCAAACAAAATTTTGTAATACATACAAAAGTTTGTTAGGTGTAATATTAAAGTACTTAATCACTATGTAGTATACTTACTGAATTCGTCATCACATAACATAACATCACGCCTTTTATCCCCGAAGGGGTAGGTTAGGTGGGTACATTATGCCACTGTACAATGTAACACCCAGTTTTCACTATTTATGTTATGAGTCCTATGTAATAGGGATGTTATAGGGGGTGAGCCTATTGCCATATACCGGGCACAATTTAAGACTTCGTGCTACTACTGTGAAATTTTTGAAAAACCCAGAGTATACTTTTCCCGACCCGGGAGACGAACCCGAGACCCCTTGCCCGGCAGTCGCACTTGCGACCACTCGGCCAATAAGGCAGTCGTTCGTTCGTCACTCTTATAAAAGAAAATCGACTAATTTAGTAATAGTTACTAATTTAATCGATCAAGAAGGAACAATCTATAGTTACCCAACAGTAAAATCTAATAGTTTTCATGTTACAGTTATATAATATATCAAAGTAAAAAACAAAAAGAAAAACTGAAGTATTTCGGTAGGCAGTTTTGACGTCGTCGTCCGTCGCCAGCGTGCGGACGTTGATGTTTTTTGGGTCCAAATATGGATCTAAAAAACCATCACGCCCGCATCGGAGTATCGGACCATACTTCAACAAGAGCATGCTACAATAATTATTATACAGAAGTGATATTGAGTTGCTCTGATAGGCTCCAATCTATCTCATTTATTTCCTCTGTTGTACCATAAGCAACTCGCCAGTACTCGTCTTGATTATTTAACAAAGGGCCACGATCATTTGACCCTCACTCTATTCTCATGTATTGACACCATTGATACATATATCGGACTATACTACAGTCTATAAGTCGGGTTCATTGCCACTTATACCTCAAGATACTCAGGTCAACAAAGCAGCATTGTTTGTGTGACGTAAGGCACACGCATTCTTTTGGTTATGAATTGTTAATTAGTCGGCCCGTCATAGATAATGAATGTTTACATTAATTATACGCAGTCAGTAGTTTAAAATGTTAGCGTGTTACAATGCTTACAAAAGAGGGTTATAGACTGCTGACAGGAGAAAGGTTTCGTCAAACAGTGTTGGTAAAGATATTTTTATTTACTAAATTAACAGATGTCTTCGTATCTCGTATAAGTAATCTGAAGACTGATCCAAAAATATCTTGAACGACTCACCTTGGTTAGTTTATGTAAATATTTTTATGAAGTTCCTTCGAGTTAGGATATACTAAGATGGAGACTCTACAAAATAACAGGAAAAAGATCAGACCTTAATCGCAATTTTTGATAATTCCATTCCATATATTATAAGGCTTCAGTTTTTATCCACTAAACACTCAAAACACTTAAGATCTTAAAACATTGTACCTACTTACTTACCAATTATTGTAATAATATGTTACAAAACTTACAACGATTTAACGAAGGCCGTTTGAAGGAAGTAGAGCTAACGTCGAATAAAAACATAAAGAAAAGCCATTGTCAAGGTTATCGGGTCACAAAGACCTCATAGCTATTGAATTTTCTAATAAAAAAACTTTTAACATTGAGATTCTTTGTAAAGTATTCCATGGTAACTAGCGTTACATTTTTCTGATGCAAAGATTAGCTCAATGCTTGCACGAAAGTTTGTTTATATTCAGTAATTTATTTAAGCCCAAATATGTGCTCAACATAATATAGTTTTTATTCCTTTAATACCTATTTATCTTTTCCGGTATAACACAATAGTGATTTTAGAGGTTCAATGATTCATCGGCATCCAACCAAAAAACTATCGCTATCTGAACAATGTACCAGTTTTTGCAGGAAGGTACCTACTTACCAATTTATCGTGGGTGTGAACCAGTTTTGTAGAAATACAGATACGTTCATCTCAAAGCTATAGAATAATTTTATTTTAAGTTACTTTCACGATAACATCGGCCTTTGGAGGCAAAAATGAACAGCAGAAACTACATGTCCATATTCGGATACAGGCATTTTACTATGGCCCCTTCGGATAAGGATTAAAATACTGAAGTATTTTTGCAGGATGTGGTTCAATTTTATCCATGTACCGCAAATAAATATTGATTTTGTTCTAGGTGTGATATTCCCCGGCCTTGAAGAGACAGTCCCTGATGGCTTCGAAGTCCTAGAAACGACACCGACAGGTTTACCAGCAGATTTGAATCATGGGTCCATGCGGTCACCAGAATGTTACCTCTGCATACGTAGAGGCAGGGATCGACCGCCGCTTGTCGACATCGGTAAGATTTTCAATTTAGAAATTGTTTTATAAATAAAATCTGTTGGAAAATACTCCTCATTAACATACAGTGTAAATAAGTTTCTCAACATTTTTTGTAATTTGCGCAAAATTGTGCACAGATTGCGCAAGTTCTTAGCGCAAATTTTGCATATGCGCTTGCAATATCCTTTATGAGCTTCTGTTTTTGTAGCAGGTGTTTTTTGCATTATGTACTTGGTACTGTCAGTTTACTAATATTTATAAACAAACACTTCAATAGCTGAATGTGTTTTGCAAGCTGTATTTACGATGACATCTGCGCGGCAAATGCATATGGAAAATATTAGACTTTAAATTGATACTACGATAGTTAAAACCTTAAACATTTATCCTAATACCATAAACAGCATAAAATGCTATACAAAAACGGTCAACAGATCACGTGATCTATAGCTTTCCGAATGAGTAAGATATTTAAAAATAAACTACGGATGAATGTGAATAATATAAATTTATTCTTATGTAAAACTCGATGATGAACAATATGTAATACTGTTGGCTTCCAGTTAAATACATACTTATAATTGAAATGGTAATCGACTAAATTATTCTGAGATTCAAATCTCATTGACAAACCCTGGGTCGCTTTTAAACAAAGTCATAGTTCAGTTTTATTAAAATAGTCGTGTACAGAGTGTACAGAAATTCAAACTCTAACTTAGCCCATCTTGATACCAAAACGACTATCTTTGTCTTTGTCTTCACAGGTAAAAATCTCATATAAGAACAATATTGTCTATGACAACCGTATGTGGAACATCAGATTGAAAACAGAACTAGTCACGTATGTTTTACACCCCAACCTTGCCCTTTTAATACCTTGGGCATGCAAGCTGAAACTCCATTTAATGTTATAGCCAAAAGGTCAAGACTATTAGGTAACCAACCCCATTGTCTCAATTCTAAGTTTATTTGCCAATGGAAAATGCGCCAAATGGACATTGAAATCGTTCACTTTTACATTAACTATCATGTCATGTATTTTGAATCAAAGAACATAAATGACGGTGGCGTGTTTTGCAAAAAAAAAGAGAATTATTTGAGGTCAGTGTTGAAGACATCATCATATTTGTCCCTTTCTTGATACAATCTATTCGGATGGGCTTTTGATCTTATTTCTTTTACACCTATCAAATGTTTTAAGTTTTTCCATGGATGAGAAAGTATTTATTTCGATTACGTTATCTACTTGAAAATAATCAATATTCTTTTTACATACAGTCGATATAATCGCAGTTCTTTCTCCATAACCACAATGACCCCTATTACACGATCATAAAATCGAAACAAGATAGCAAATAAAACGATACTTACCGCATTTCTAAGCGTATAGCTCAGCTGCTGTAAATAGGGGATCTTATTAAGATATTCATCTGCACAGTTAAACGCCTACACTCGAATAATCAAACCAATCACTGGACGAGGTTAGAAACATAGAATAAGACCAAGTTTGTATTGTATTGTTATTCTTCGGGTCACAGACAAACGTTAAGTACTTACGGCTAAATATAAAATGGTGTCATTTAGGATTTTGAGATAAAAATACTCAAGAATGACCTCTAAGACAATTACTGTCTTTTGGGACAACCGATTTTATTTACTTTAAGATCGTAATCTTACAAACAGCAGGCTTGTTAAACTCATCTTAGCCATGTCCTTGACTCCGTACAAAATTTTCGTCAGGCACTTTAGCAATTTTTGTTCACGGTCCTCTTGATATATATTTTGTGTTAGTATCTTATATTCTGGTTCATCATCATAGTACGACATCGTCCGTCCTGTTAGGTCAAAGTTAGATTGCCAACTTATTTTTTTCATACACTGTCTATAAAAAAGTTTTAGGTTCATACTGTGCCGTACGCGTCCTTCCAACCTACCTACATTAAAAATGAATTATTCATGAGCAGCGGAAACGTAGGTACCTCGATAACACTTAAATTAACCGATTCTATAAATAGGATTAGCGCTGCATACTAAACAATGATAGAAAAGGTTTAAATACATAAAACTACTAACTGTTCGGAGAACCTAACGGGTAACCGGGGCTCCGGCTCGACGTGCAGGAGAAGGAACGGGGTGGTTTTTAGTCAGTAAGAGTCTGACACTCCCTCCCGCCTCACCCAGGCGGGAGCAGTCATTCGATGATTTTCCCCCCTTAAAAAAAAAAGGCTTCACAAAAGAATTAAGGAGACATGAAATTGCGCTATGGAAAGCATGTTAGACGGTTTCCGCACTAAACTGTTATCTAATACTACATGGACTTCTGAACAAAACTGTACTAAGAAGAGTAACATTATTAACATAACATCACGCCTTTTATCCCCGAAGGGGTAGGCAGAAGTGTACATTACGCAGAGGTACACTGTACAATGCAACACCCACTTTCCAATTTTATGTTATGAGTCCCATGTAATAGGTGAACCTATTGCCATATACCGGGCACAGTTCAAAACTCCGTGCTACTACTAAGAATTTCTTTAAAAACTCAGTAATAATTCGCCCGACCCCTTGCCTGGCAGTCACACTTGCGACCACTCGGCCAACGAGGCAGTAACATTGTTATAAGTTTCTATAATGATTATGAAAAATTACTTACTATTACTCAATTTCTAACAGTTAAATCTGCGCTCTCTGCACTGAAATTGTCCGCAAAACGTTCTTAAGCCAACGGTCTCCATAACCTTCAAACCATTTTATTATCACCAAAGGAAAGTACCGTGTTATGTCTGAACTAGCCCTCCATTTCGTAAACTTATCTTACACGTTCGAATCTTATTGGATTTTCTGCACGATAAGATACACGCGTTTTATTACTTCGACTTTCTCAGAATACGTTTAGATGTAAACAACACTGGAGTCACGTCACTATTAATAGAAAAAAGTCTTTCTTCTGACGTTTGAGACAATGTTACACGTGTCCTATGTTAGGAAAATCCTTTCTTTTGAGACTAGACTACAAACGTTTACTGGATATCGACTGCGCCCCTTATACAACGTCTCATATTAGAAATAAAAGTATTTTCTCTATTATTGATTTGGACAGTCCAACACGTCCACTCAAGCTTTTGTATTGTTCAAGAATACCAAAATAACATCCATAACCAGTTTTTAAAATAACAGTTTTAAAGTCACCCACCGCAATATCCAGGTACTCGTCCGAAGAGATAAGCCAACGTTATCAAGGAAAATAATCAAAACACATACAACAGTGACGTCACATATACCCATAATACATGGAATAAGTGGGTTAATTCTTTAATATAGATAGGTCATATTGTATCTATGTGATAATAGGTGCTATGCAGCGTTATCAATAGTAGTTTTATCATCGTAACCACACCTCATATGCTGGTTTTTCAATGCATTATACTAACTGTTCACGCTTTGTTATTTTCTTTTGTCTGTCTCATTGTTTCAGAGTAAGACTTCCACGTCTAATTTATTATTAGTAATATTTTAAAGCCACACCATTTCCTTATATCTATCGGTTTTATCCTATATCCAAAAGATTATAGTAATACACTTTATAGGTATCATAGTTTGGTTGCAATTGAGATTATATTGACTGATAAATACGTACTGGCAATTCAAATAAGATATCATGAGCAATGAATCGCCATTTGTGGATTTTCGAAGCTCCCTCTTTTTAAATAAAATAAGTCCATGAATTGGTAGATAACACTAGAAGTCTAGAATAAAAACATGTACTAAGAAACGACTGCTTGAATTTGAATCAATATTTGATTAGAAATGATTCATCCACCATGATGTATAGGTCACCGTTTCTTTATTTCTTTTATCAATAACTACTGGCCTCGGCGGACTTCGTATCGCCTTACAATAATAAATTAATGAGTAATGACGGTCAATTAAATAAAATGTACTTATGGGAAAATATTCTGTTATTTGAAATCTAAAAACCTGTCGAGCTGTTCTAGAATTGTAAATGCTATATTACTATAAACCACGACTTAGATTTCTTATGTGTGTCAAAATGAATTAATATTCAATAAAGCTTATTTCTTGTTGTGCTAAGAAAAACAAAGCGATAGCCTAACCAAAACAAGAGGCAAACTATTTCAATGTCTTTGCAAAACCTGTGAAAATCTATTGGGTTTGTCCATAACACTGCGCTGCTACAAATAATCTCAATTCTTCTACCTCCAGGTGTCATGTATGATGGAAAAGAACGGCTCATGGCGGACGCAGAAATGGTCCTCGTCTCTGCCGGCGGTCGATTGGCCAACGTGAATAACTCTACAGCTAAAACCTTCATTACGTACAGACGAGCGCACCCAGGGGCACCATGTAATGCTCTCGTGGTCGTCGATGTGTGTGTGATTGTCGCGAGCAAAGGGGAATGTCCACCACATGCCTTTTGTATGATCCCTAAGAATTTGAATAAAGGTAAGGTTCTTTTTTTATTTGATGTTTATGGACATAGTGACCAAAAACAGGTCTAATTGAGGATTTATCAAAAGGGGTTTTATGGTATGGGCCGGCAAACGAGCAGACGCATTTGAAGGAAAGCAACCGCCCATGGACACCCGCAACATCAGAAGTAACTCCTCTAGTTTCTTAAAAGCGTTGTCCAACTTTTGGGGGCTAAGGATTTAAGGATTAATTAGGGGATTATAGAAAGCAAATGGGCAATTAAATATATGACAGATCATTTGTAGTTTTAAAACTGTTGCAGTGTAGCTCTGTGATAAGATGTTTTTGAAAGGCTTTATATTTGTCAGCAAAATATTTGAGGTCTTAAGTTTAACCTCATTATAGCCGAGTCACTTACTCAATATCTTTATATTTCAGCGTAAATTAATGGGTTACGCATATAAGTGAATGTAAAATGTAATCGTTCTTTGATATCGCGATTATACAATGAGTACGATATTTTCTAGGTATTGGATTATTTATTTATCTTTTATATACAAATCCATATCTAATCTTGTTATTATTCAATTCACAATAACTATTTGTTTTTAAGACATAACATAACATCACGCCTTTTATCCCCTTAGGGGTAGGCAGAGGTGCACATTATGCCACTGTACAATGTAACACCCTACAACCCTTTGTTTTTAAGGTCGGTTGATAATAGAGTTTTGTAACAAAATGTGTGGGAGATTCTCTTCAATTCAGTGGAAGAGAATTTTTGGGTTACTAAATCAGCCAATATCACACTAATATATTTTAAATGTGAAAGTTTCTTTGTTTGTACGTGAATCACTCTTAAACAACTGAACAGATTTTGATGAAATTTATTATACAGGCAGGATGTGGGTTGACTTTGGTGGTAGGATACTTTATTTTTATCCTGATAATGCCATGGGATAAAACAGCAATCGTATTCTACGCGGTCGGAGTCGCGGGCAACAGCTATTAATCAATATTTTCAAGTCATTTTCGTGTAAAGAGACATAACTAACTGAAATACTGGTTTCCTAATATCTAAGTTGTAAAATTACGTTAGAGTACTTATTTTTTTTATTCCAAGTGTGTTTTAATCTTAAAATTTATTTAAATTCCAGGCTTAATGGGCAGTGATGTGTTTCTCTGCTACAAGAAGTCAATGAACCGTCCACCACTAATTGCCTACAAACCCGATGTGCTGTTCAGGTAAACACAAATTAAAAACACATTAAATTAATCCTTATTTATCTTACTATTGGGTTCATTATCCATCTGCATTGTTTTCTTGATAATCAATCATAGAGGATGATAATATAAGGTTGAATTTCGAATCTCATTAGTTAATGTACAAAAAGAATTGTTAGTAATATCCTCAGTACTTAGTAAGCGAGTATTTAACTTAATTGAAATTTGTTGTATTTCTGACAAAACCCTAGATGCAACCAAAATTCTTAAATCAAGATGGGGTATCAATTTCGACCGTAAGTTCGGGTAGACATACTAAGTCTTTGACTTTGCCTTCGAACGGAAAGACAAGGTGTAGTCCCGTGGAGTTATAATAATACCAGTAAACAAGATTTTCTCTGTAACTAGTCAAATGAAAGCAAGAAGCATACAACTGGTACCGCAAACTCCCTTATCATAATTTTAGACGAACAATAATACTAAATAAACGAATATAAACGTATATAGTTCACAGAAATTTCAGGTTCTCCTAAAATTTGGAACGGTAACTAATTATAACGGTCTCAGCGTGCGTCATTAATTAGCGGTTTCAAACGAACCCGAAGTTAATCATATATCCCGTTTTATCTACTTTAATTAGTCACAATCGGTCTGTACAAAAACTGCAGTTGTAACTGTACTTGCTAAATATAGTTTGCACTAGAAAATAACATAACGTAACGTCTTTTTATCCCCAAAGGGCTAGGCGGAGGTGCGCATTACTACACTTAATGCCACTGTACAATGTAACACCCACTTTTCACTATTTATGTTATGAGTCCCATGTAATAGGGGGAGAGCTTATTGCCATATATCCTGGGCACAATTCCGGACTTCGTGCTATTACTGAGATTTTTTTTAAAAACCCTTTATTACTTTATCCGACCCGGGAATCGACCCCGAGACCCCTTGAGTTGCACTTGCGACCACTCGGCCAACGAGCCAGTCATTTGCACTAGAAAATGAATTAAGTACCGTCATTATAGACACAATTATAGAACAATAGGTTGCGGTCACCGGTGACCGCTTGGTGTTTGACAGTTTAATTCATTTTCTAGTGCAAATGACTGGCTCGTTGGCCGAGTGGTCGCAAGTGCAACTCAAGGGGTCTCGGGGTCGATTCCCGGGTCGGATAAAGTAATAAAGGGTTTTTAAAAAAAATCTCAGTAATAGCACGAAGTCCGGAATTGTGCCCAGGATATATGGCAATAAGCTCTCCCCCTATTACATGGGACTCATAACACAATAGGTTGCGGTCACCGGTGACCGCAACCTATTGTTCTATAATTGTGTCTATAATGACGGTACTCGACGAGTTAAATAATAGTGTTTGACCTTGAACTTTTAACACAAATAAACATTACCTTGGAACGGTTTTAACGAATCCTATCATTTTATGACTCTACTTTCGTTTGTGTTTTGTCAGATTGAAACAGACTTATTTAGTAATAATGAAATAAATCAATAATCTTGTCGGGCTTACCCGAAAAATACGGTTTGAATCTCGTATCAGATAAGAAAGGCTCTAAATTAACTAAAATCGCGGGTTACTCACATGAATATACTGAGGAAAGCTCTACTAGTTTCGAACCACAGAGGAGTTCTTCCTCATGAGCAGCGTGCGCGGTCGCGGCCACGTCGCGTAACTAGTTAATTTAGTATGTCTCACGATAGTTATTATAAAAAAGAAAGGCTCTAAATGTCGTTTTCGAATTCTATTACAATTATGTTCACAATTATGTTATGTGTGTTATAACCAGTGATCGGAAAAAGGTGTGCTAATTTACCTAAACTTCAAGGAACAAAAACAAAAAGTGGAGACTTCCTTACTACAACATTTTTTTCGGGAAAGTTCCGGTTCCAGTTTCGGGATATTAATATATTACATTTAATATAATTGTTATTAATACAGAAAACAATTGATTTCGTTTCGTGATTTTATTTCTTAAATTTAACACAAAACCAAACAAAATTAAAACTTTTATTGTTTCCAACAATAAATATTTTAAGATGTAAGAAAGAGCATAAAATAAATTTATTCAACACCAAAATTAACAAAACTTCCGATCCGATTCCGATCACTGGTTATAACTCTCATAAGACATTAAATTAATTATTGTGTTGAACGGCTTATTCACGTAATGCACTGCATTTCTGTTCATGAATATGAGTCCCTAGTACGGCTTGAAACTAGTTGAGTTAAACAGTTCCGTCTCTTAAATATGTTTTAAAAAATACTGAATCCTTCTATTTTGTATTGAACAACTTGTATCAAATAAGACAAGAATATTTTAGCAGATGGCGACTATGACACAATCAGATTTTTATCTCTAAAGTGATTAGTTCTGGTTTTTATAACGTTCAGCCTTGACTTTAATGTCAATTTGTTTACGTTACTAAATAGATATTCTATTAAATTATCTACCAATAATCAAAATATAGATAATTGAAATTTTACTGACTTCCTCGTTGGCCGAGTGGTCGCAAGTGCGACTGCCGGGCAAGGGGTGTCGGGTTCGATTCCCGGGTCGGGCAAAGTATTACTGGCTTTTTAAAAATCTCAGTAGTAGCACGGAGTCTGGAATTGTGCCCGGTATATGGCAATAGGCTCACTCCCTATCACTTATAACATAAATAGTGAGTGGGTGTTACATTGTACAGTGGCATTAAGTGCCGTAATGTGCACCTCTGCCTACCCCTTCGAGGATAAAAAGGCGTGATGTTATGTAATATATTATGTGAAATTTTACTAGCAATTAGTAGATTCCTCTCTAATTCATTAGGAAACTGCGTATGTAATAATTTTCCTTGTAAGCTGATGCATAGTTATTTACTGACCAATATTAATAATGCTAGATTACCTTGTGCTTTCACTGCCGTATTATTACATAATTAAGTAATCTAATGCAAGCAGTTTTCGGTTCATGAACTTACGACCAGGGACATTTACCGTTGTCACTAACCTCTTTTGTATACTTCCTTTTTTAAATTTGAAGGAAGCTAAGTTAAGATAGGTGGCGTTTAGCAATATTTTGGTTTTCACTAACCTCTTAAGTGACAAGACTGCACGGTTGGCGCGGTGGCTGGGCAGCTGGCTCGATTCCCCCACGGAACAACTCTGTGTGATCCACAAATTGTTGTTTCGGGTCTGGGTGTCATGTGTATGTGTACTCGTATGTTTGTAAACGCACCCAAGACCCAGGAGAAAATCCTAGTGTGGGACAACGTTTTTAAGTGGGCCCTTGCGCTAAGTAAGTCTTACTTAAAAGATAGATCTAACTAAAACAAGTCCAATGCGACTTCAAGATCAGCCGATTGGAAGCAATGCGACTTCAAGATCAGCCGATTGGAAGCAACCTGCATTAAGCTAACCAATCTATCTCGTCCAAACAAAATTTTCTTTTATTCCCACAGGTATCCAACGGTAGAAAAACGTAACTTAGTATTTCCTACATCCGTGCCACTATTCTGTCTACCGATGGGAGCGACCCTAGAACTATGGCCTAACAATGCAGCGATGCCTAAACCAGTATTCTCTACTTTTGTATTAACTGTTGCGGATGCTACTTATAAGGTAAACATGCTTATGAACTTTGTATAGTATTTATAAAGGTACGGTCAGAAATAAAACAGACTGCACGGTTGGTGCGGTGGCTGGCCAACCGGCTGCCGTGCAACGTGTCGCGGGTTCGATTCCCGCACGGAACAACACTGTGTGATCCACAAATTGTTGTTTCGGGTCTGGGTGTCATGTGTATGTGAACTTGTATGTTTGTAAACCCACCCACGCCACAGGAGATAATCTTAGTGTGGGGCAAAGTTTAAAAAAAAAAAAGAAAAAAAAGAATGTAAAATCATAGTCAACTTGGGATTTGTAACTAGTTAAGAAACTTCATTCAATAATTCTTTCATCTTTAGCTCCAAAACAGTTCTGAAATCAGCACTGTTACTGCAGCACCTCGGAAGTCAATACAGTCATGGTTAATGCTAAAACTTATGCTCGACTGTGGCGTGTAAAATCATTTATGTTATTCTTAAAAATCCGGAGATCCTAACATATTACCGGGACTGGTGGTTTTTAGTCAGAAAGAGTCTGACACTCCCGCCCGCCCCACCCAGGCGGAAGAATTCATTCGATGATATTCCCACATGAAAAAAAATGTAATAACTCAAATCAAATTTCGACCTTACAAACAAAATCTAAATCACCTTCCAGGTTTACGGCTCAGCAGTGACGTTCTACGAGAAGTACCCATATACTCAGTTAACAGAAGAACAAATGGAACTGTTAGGATGGCGGGAAGGAGTCTCACATAACACTCATTCAGTGTATGCTATCAAGTGCATTTGTTTACTGTCCCGGTGGCCTTTCAGCGATACTTTTGAAAGATGGCTGCTTTATATACTGGTATGTTTTTGTCGAATTATATCAATTCATTATGCCTTTTTATTTGTAGAGTTAGAAAAAGACTCCGGGTAGAGTAATTCATCATCATCATATAAGTGGCCACTGCTGACCAAAGGCCTCAAAGGCACGGAGGAGGTTTGACCATTAATCGCCACACTTGCTCAATACGTGTTGGCGAATTCACACTTATATTTAGAAATTATGTGCATGAGAAGCGTGCGTCTTAAACGTCCGGACCACCGCGACGTTTCATTGTTACTCATTCATCAATTTGTGTGTTCTATGCAACACTATTGTAATTGTAATACCAGAAGAAGAATAATAATAAAAAAAAATAACGAGGGTGTTGCCGATCATGTATCTAGAATACAGCCCGTAAACTTATTGGTATTAATAGTAGCATAACAAATCTACGGACACAGTAACCAGCTGAGCAACAACACTACTTTTATGGGCCAACGTTTGGCTACTATCTCGCCTGGTGGTAAGCGATAATGCGGCCTACGATGGAGCACTTACTAACTCAATACATTTCATATTTCTTTCAGGAAATGTCATGGAGTAAAGAACCTTTAAATATACCAATAGAGAGGTATATAACACATTTATTAGAAGAAGTGCCCTTCCCAGAACCAAGAATATTGTTACAAGTAAGTTATACATATTGTTTGTTCTTTGAAAGCGTAAATCATGCAAACGAGTCTAGTGCCATACCTAAAATTTCAGATTCGTATTATTATTACTGGCAAAGACGAAAAATTAACGACAGTACATCGCCCGAGGACTCATGCTTACTCGACAAGCCCTTATTCTATGTATAGGACCGTACGATATTTGATATTTTAATCTTCATCTTGTTTTATAATGTCTCTTTCCCCAGCTATCTCCAACAAACCAACACGATCGTGTAATAGTGACCCGTCGAGACGACCAGCCACTAGTGCGCAGCGGTGCCAGTTTCCGACAGTTACTGCTAAACCTAGGACCGGACAACTGTTTACTTGTGCTAGCTTTAGCTATCACTGAACAAAAAGTACTTATACACTCGCTTAGGTAAGGAATACAGCATTTCCTAAAACAATTAAATTTGACAGTATATTGAAGACGATAAAGTTCAAAGTGTTATTACTTTTGGTATTGCTAAAGGTAGGCCATATGTACTCAAGTGCTGAGTAGTAATTATGTGTATGACTTCTAACTGAATTTGAATCGAAGTATCAAGATTCCTTGTTTCTTTTCTTATGTTTGTTTCTTTATAATATTCTACTCCTATGATTTCTATGATTTTTTGACCAGTGTAGAATTATATTTTATTATTATTTTTACAGGCCTGATACTTTAACAGCAGTCTCAGAAGCCGTCTCAAGTCTCCTGTTTCCGTTCAAGTGGCAGTGTCCATACATCCCATTATGCCCATTAGGTATGTAATAAAAGTTCACTCAAATATAAACCGCATTTATTAGAGACTACATCATATAATTGCTTGCTAACATCTTTATGTATGTTTTAGGTTTAGCAGAAGTATTACACGCTCCGTTGCCATACCTCATTGGAGTCGATTCGAGATTTTTTGATCTGTTCGAACCCCCACCTGATGTAACCTGTGTTGATTTAGACACTAATAATATTACAGTAAGTACTATATACTACAAATCAAGAAGAAAACCTGTTTATAGTATAATATCGACCTTGTTAACCAAGCTTTAGAATGATGTAGGATTCAAAGATATCATGAGTCACTTTTTACCGGAATACTGAAACGTTACTCAATTTTAAGTCGTGCTCAAATATCGTGCCATCTCTGTCATTTTACAAAGAATTTGTAGAGATAGAACTATAGTTAAGCACGACTTAAAATTGAGTAGCGTTTCAGTATTCCGACATTTGACAATTCGAAAAAAATATTGTATTTGACTAGTTGTCAAGTACCCAATTGGTCAGTCAAGTATAAGTATATTCAATTATTCCATTTTGTATGATGATTACCTCATGATATCTTATTTCCTTTCTAACGTATAGGCTACGTGATACGTGAGATAAAATTAAGGACTTATTATAAACAATTTGCTTAAAGTAACATTGGCTTGGTTTTCGTATGTTCTTCAGTTATACATACAATCATTTTTTCCAGATATGCGAGTCACAAAGGCATATATCTCTCAAACTACTGCCGAAGCGACAAGCGAGAGCTCTTAGACAAACGTTAGATTTACTTTACGGAAATATTAGACCAGGTACATTTCAGTCAATATTATAATTTACATAATATAAAAGTCTATGGTAAAAACCCCTAGATTACGAATCCCCGAGTATAGCAAAGGTTTCCTTTGCTACCCCTTCCTTTGAACTCTTAATTTTATAATGATTTAAACAGTAATCACTATGTTTTTATTTTCAGCCTCACCAGTTCACCATTCAAGCGAAGCTAAATACAATGGAGAGCCGACCACAAGTTTAGACAGGGATTTCCAAAAGAGGAAAAAGGAGGTAATAATCATAATATTCAACTGAAACATAATTGAACATTACTCGAGTCATTCGAGACAGTCGAACATTATCTGTAACTTTTATCAACATTTTTTACCCTGTTTTATCTGTTTATAACATCATAAACTCATTAACAATTTATACGAGATTATCAACAACTAATTTTGCAACCTTTCAGCAAGCATTAGAGTTGAAAATCCAAGAAGCGTTCCTTCGCTTCATGGCGGTGACTCTACAAGGTTACCGTAACTATCTCATCCCTATAACGAAGGCGCCTACAGTCGGTACTACTGACCCACATGCACTGTTTCATATGGACGCCTTTTTGCGGTCGAGGGACAAGGTAATTTTACATTTATTTATTATGCCTTAAACTGTCAAATACCAAGCGGTCACCGGTGACCGCAACCTATTGTTCTATAATTGTGTCTACAAAACCGGTACTTGACGAGTTAATACATTTTATTTTCATTCTTTCTTTAGAAGCAATATTGAAAATAATTAATTGCATATTGTTTTGAATTCGATAGCTCAATAGTTAGTAGTAATGACTTTCCATTACCTACTCAAATGTATAGTTAATGATAGAATTGCAAAACATATCTTCCAGTTGTATTTATCAAGATACCAAATGACTCTCATTAAAATAAATATTTTAATCCACTTTCTTCACAATTATATAAAAATGACATTCAACCTTCACAGACACACCAACGTTTCTACAGCCTAATGATGCGTACGCAAATGTTCACACGTTTCATAGAGGAACGCTCGTTCGTATATGAGCCGGACCAGGGTCTAACTTTCTTCGACGAGTGTATAGAAAGGGTCGCCGTAGGAGACGAGCAGTTACTCGGAATGGATACTAGTAATGCATCTGAGAGGACCGCTTTCGTTCTACCGCCTGATCCACCTGACCCAGGTAAGATATTGTTTGTTTAATCGATTTTCGGTAGATTTAAAGAAGTGGTTAAGGATTAAATTTGTGGCTTGCCGAGTTACAATTGCTTCTTGTTTGCGCATAGTAAGCGCAATGCGCAAAACTGCGCAACTATAACGGAAATTCGCGTGGAAACCGTAGTTATCTAAAATATAAGCCTTTGTGGTTGCAAACGTCTATAGACTTGTATTTTTTGTCATCTCGGTCTAGATTTTTTTTTGTGTAGGGAAAACCCGGTTAGGACGTCCGCAGCTCATTGTCCGTCTAAGGATAAATAGTTGAAACGTGTGTAATACAACAATTTGCTTACTTTTCAGAGGCTCGGTATACATACTCTCAGTTCGAGTTGGACCCGGCCGTGATGTCGGGCTGCAGCGGACGAGCCAGGGGCGCCGCCCTCGGGGCTCTGCCCCCCGCCGCACTACACTCCGCCGAATCACTCACTGACGCAGAGCCCATGGCCAGACGTACTAAACATGAGATTGCCGCAGCGCAGAGGTATTTATATCATCTTATCACATTTATACGATAAGTGCAGACACTAGTAACAAATTTGTGATTTCATTAAAAAGTTATACACACTGAAATCTATTATTTATAGAGTTAAAAGTTTACTCCGTAGCTTGAATGTTCTCATTAGTTCGATACACTTCCTATCACATCACTAAATCTAATCCCCGATTTAAAATCCTACAATTTAACACCGATCTTACTGCATATACAAATTGCGCATAATTAGCGCAACATTTGCGCAATTAAACATGATTTTTAGGTTTATTGTTTTCTTCCCAAAAGTTTTTCAATGGCGTATAGACCAAGTTAATATTAACGATTGATTAAATATTTCAGACTAGCCCGCAAAGCCAGTTTATCAGCGGAAGCTTGGGCGAAATGTTTGCTAGGCGCATGCTACTCCCTATACTTCCTGTCGCTGCCATGTCGAATGATGTTGAATAGAGGCCGGGAACATTCCACCTTGAGAGCTGCGTTCGAACTGTTAGAGCGGGCTACCAAGCTAAAAGTTCCTTGTGACGAGGTAAGTTGCGTATTTAAATAAAATTATTCGTAAAAACTAGATTTTGTCTCAGTCCTAACATGTCTTGCAGTGGTAATTTGTTCTATTCAATTATTCTTGTGCTAGTTTCAATTATTATTTGTCCAAAGTTAATAATTATGTTTGCCTTATTAGATTCCCGTCCATGTGTAAACTTTGCTTTTTTTTTAATATTCGCGGACAAACGGAATTCAAAGAAAACAGATTTCGATTCGATTTATTTAAAGGCTACTTGAACGCGGGCCTAACCAAGGGGCCGTTCAAATATTACGTAAGCAGATTTTTTACAATTATTTACATTTACCAGGTATGCTACCGCGTAATGATGCAGCTATGCGGCAACCACTCGCTGCCAGTGCTAGCGGTGCAGCTCCTGTTCCTAATGAAGCGCGCCGGCCTGCAGCCCAACGCGCTCACGTACGGGTACTACAACCGATGCGTACTCGAAGCTACGTGGCCGCAGGATATGCCCAGGTAACATGGTTATACAAAAAGGTGTAAATTGAATCGATAAAACTTGTATTTGCCTTTAGCACCAGAAATCTTATCTTATATATAAATATTATAAATTATAATAGATTTATAAATAAATAAATATTAAATATATAAATCTATCTATCTATATATAAATCTATCTATCTATATATAAATAAAAATGAATTTCCGTTCGTTAGTCTCGCTAAAACTCGAGAACGGCTGAGCCGATTTGGCTAATTTTGGTCTTGATATGTTCGGGGAAGTCCAGGGAAGGTTTATAAAGTGAGAAGAAATATTTTGAGGCGAGACGAAGTTTGCCGGGTCACCTAGTAATAGAAGTTTTCCATTATATAACAAACATTGATAGTAAAGTAACTTCGGTTGAATCGTTCTCGCCTCATGCTTCTTTCGCATGGAAGGACATTGATTACATACTTACATAGGTCACCATGTTCTGGCCAATCTAGATGAAATTACTCATCTATCTGTTCGTTCGAGGTAATGAACTCATTTTACGCGCGTAACTAAGGTTTTTCGTCAAAACATTTTCTTACATAAATGTTTTATGTTCCAGTGGCGCGCAGTTACTATGGAACAAGCTACGTATTGCAGTGGTCGGCGCAGCATTGTTCCGGAAAGCAGGCGCTCAGCGAGCAAGCAGAAACACTCTCAATTCTACGTCGGCTGGCAGTAAGATATATCATACTTTTTAACCTCTCATTCTTTAAGTATTTTCCGAGACTCTAGCCATAAAAAGTTCCATATTTGAAATAAC